GACCTAGAATCAGGAAACCGAAAAGGAAGAACATGCCCAGCACGTCTGAAATGGAAAGACCCAAGAAAAATTCAGGCCTCAAATTGCAATTTTGAAAGATTCTATAGGCAAACTATAGAACGATGCAGGAAGCATTAAGAGAAGATGGAAAGAAGATCCAAAGTTGCGGTACCAGAAAGAACTAGTCCACATTCAGCATTTCAGGAGGAAGCATGTGAGCAGGAACCAACGGTGCTGAAGGAAGAAGTTCAATCTACACTGGCTGCATTAGCCAAAAACAAGGCTCCAGGAATGGACGGAACACCCATTGAAATGTTTCAGAAAGCTGAAGAAGCACTAGAAGCACTCACTTGTCTAGACAGGAAATTTGGAAGATAGCTACCTGGCCAACTGATGGGAAGAGATCCATATTTCTGCCCATTCAACAAAAAGGTGACCCAACAGAATGTTCAAACGATAGAATGATATCATTGCTAATTGCACACAAGTAAAATTTTGCATGAGATTATCCAACAACGGCTGGAGCAGCACATTGAGAGGGAGCTGCCAGAAGGTCAGGCAGGATTCAGAAGAGGACGTGGCACAGGGATATCATTGCCAATGTCGGATGGATCTTGGCTGAAAGCAAGACTATCAGAACAATGTTTACTTGAGTTTCATTGACGATGCAAAGGCATTCAACTGTGTGGACCATAGTAGACTGTGGATGGCCTTGAGAAGAACGGGGATTCCAGAACACATCACTGTGCTCATTCAGAACTTGTACACGGATGGAGAGGCAGTTGTACAAACAGAACTGCATGGTGTTAAATCAGGAAAGGTGTATGTCAGAGTTGTCTCCTCTCACCATACGTGTTCAATCAATATGCTAAGCATATTGCCAGAGTAGCTGGATTATATGACCAAGAGTGCAGTATCAGGATTGGAGAAAGGCTTATTAACAACTGTTGACACAACTTTGCTCAAACAAGAGGAATAGAAACGCTTGCTGATGAAGATCAAGGACTGCAGCCTTCAGTATGGATGGCAGCCCAATGTCAAGACCAAACTCCTCACCACTAGGACCAATAGGAACATCATGATAAACAAAGAAAAGGTTGAAGTCGTCAAGGATTTTGTCTTCCTTGGATCCACAATC